CTCTCATAAAAGACTTTTTTTCTCTTTTTTTACTGTATTTTTACTATTTTTTTTATAAGATTAACAGAAATGATTTAAATCAATGAAGTAGTGCAGCAGTATTTAAACATCAAATAGTGCAGTAGCAATTAAACAAAAATAGTGCACCAGTATCTAATTAATAGAGTAGTGCATCAGTAACAACGCAACTCTGCAGCGGAAGTGCGGAATAGCAGCCAGAGAAGATGGAGTGATGACGCAGAGTTTAAGGAAAACAGACCTTGGGCGTAACATAATAGTGACAACGGCAGCAGGTGGACCGAGCAACGGCGACGGTACGACCGATCTTCGGCGGCGCGTGAGTTTGGCGGCGACGCGTGAGATCGGCGGTGGCGCGTTGGTTGTTCGATGAGCGCCTTTGTTATGCTGTTCTAGTCGCCAGAAACTCCAGATCTTCAGGGTATCGGCTGTGAGATCTCCGGATAAGTAGAATGGAGTAGATTTGCAAATATGTTAGTGAGCTGCAGGAGGGGGCGGTGGTGCGTGGTAGCCTCTGTGTCGGTACTGTTCCGGGTGGTTGGTCGCGATGGTATGCTGAGCAAGGTGATAGGTGTAGATATGATATTCACTACCGGAAGTGTGATTCAACATCAATCGCAACTACTGTTCACGCCGGAAAAGCTTGCCGGAAACCACCCCTAACTACTGTTTGCCATATAGGCTCTGATATCGTATAGAAAAGTATTGTTGTATTTCATATACTTGATAATAAATGCTATACAAGAAGCTATATTTATAGCTATATTTAGAGCATTAGGGTTTCCTATACAAGATATACAAATGGGCTAAGCCCAATACTACTAGGGTTTCCACAGATATGATGTTTATAAAAGTGCCTTTAAGTCTATAATTAGATGCATGTCTTACCTATGAGATCGATGTTAAATACTCACTTCGTCTCACTAAACTTTTCCAAGTTGATGTTAGGCGTGAAGTTAAAATAGTAAAAACCGTGTTATTGAGGTTTGTGCAGAGGAGAGATAAATGAACAGAACCACAAATTCATTATTTTGAACGGAAAGTTCATGCTAAAGATTTTTGGGAAAAGCAAAAAAATGAAAGTTGGCAAAGTCCAGTGGAACAGAAAGAGTATTTGATTATTTAAGATCATGCTACCTAAATCTCATTTTAGTTAGCCATCTTTGAACTTTCCAATAAAAAATGGTAATCTTTGACCAATTACTTTAACTAATATTTTAATTACAAAATTTAATAATTTAATATTTTTATGATAGTATTTTTGACAAATAACATTTTCATACCAATTTCATATTATTAATACGTCTTTATATAAAGATATAATTTGTCAAAATTAGACACCATTGACTTGAAAACTCAAGTCTACCTAACTAACAAGTTAGACACATTTTCAATCAAATACATTGCCTTTGGAACTTATTACAATGTCATTGATCCCTAATTTTGTAAATAAAACAAAGACGAATATTGAATCTCGAATGGTAAAGCTAGAATGAGAGTCGCCTCAAGAAGTGGGTTGAAGAGGATTCATATATTTGTTGACAAGGGTGGTGCTATCAATAACACTAATAACGTGATCTATAAACAAGTTTTTGAAAACTTATGATACTTTTTGCATGTACATGGTCAACGTATGTTTGTGATTCTTCTATTTTGTAGTTTTATGAAATCTACTAATAATTGTACTATCATTTATTTCATTGTCACTTAAAGTATAGTTACGTACAACATATTATTTATTTTATTTTTACTTGCATTTTGTTATACCATCCAAATTTCCCTTTTCTTACATCTACAATAATATAGTCAAAGCTACAACATATAAACTTAATGGTCTTTTTTAGTTGACAAAAGTACAAATTAAGTTTCATCGCAATAAAACGTAGTTAAATATGTTGTTATACTATTCTAGACACACTCCGTGCATCGCACGGGTAGTTCATCTAGTAGAGGATAATATGAGGTGTGACAGTTTGAACTTAGAACCACAATGGAAATTATTGTTTATTACGGAGTATAAAAAATCACAAAATGGAAAGTTAAAACCATTTTTAGTGAAAAATATGTGTCACTCTAAATTAAAATCATTTTGCTTCATAGTAATTCACAGTCCAAAAGGTGCAACCGCCCGCCCCAATCATCCTCACACGTGACGTGACCACAGTATGATTACAAATAACTTATGAGTGAAGTGGTTTAGGATATGTTGCATACACAGAATCATTACTTACATTGTTCCAAAAGGTGGAATCTCCCACCCCAGGAGCCCCCCACCCTGACCCGACATGATGGTGGGGAGGTTAGTCACGATGACTCAGTCAGCAGAATGGCAGTAGGCCCATACACCCGTAGTAGTAAATAAATTCTTTATCTCCTTATTTGAATGATTAACTTTTATGCAGTTTTGGTAAGTTTTTCTCCACAATGTCAAGGAGACCTTCTAGATCATGTTGACATTGCAGTTGACATTGCTAGGGAACACTTACCAAAATTGTATAAAATCATTCAAATAAGGAGAGAGATAACTTATTTGCTAATATTTATGTGGTTATCTTTCATGCCACATGTGCACCGTGCACACTATAGCATTGGAGATGCTCTTACTCGATCATCTTCGTTTAATACCAGATCGACCATCTGTATAGGGGATGATTTCTTTCCATTTTGGAGACATCTAACGGATGAAAAACATATGCACATTGCAAATTAATATACGTACAGCAACAGAACTACAATAAAAAAGTTACATTTTTGTTAACAATAATAATATCATCGTGCAAGTGCTCTAGTGAAAACAATAAAAACAATAAAAACGTAAAATACAATTTTGCTATAGGTACCCCAACTCTACCCCAATTTCTACCTCATATAAATACCTTCCTTTTTACCATCTGTTTTACCCCTTTCTAAAAATATCACTCTCACTTCTCTCCTCTACCCCATACTATTCTTTTTCCGTCAAAATCTGCATCTCCCATTCGCAGCCGCTACAGTGCACAAAGAAGAAATTGCTTCGTTCCTTCTTCTTTGTTCCCCATTATTTTCTCCTCTTTTCATTTTAAGAGCTCTTGCTATTGAGAAGATTGAAGGACTGTTGGAACTAAATACTACGTAACAAAGAAGAAAATCCTAAAGGAGCAATGGGATCCAAGGCCGAGATCTCACAACTTCATCCCATCTCCATTTTTGAAGTCTTCAAGACCTTTCCATTTAGTTGTGTCTAAGGTAACCATTCCTTCTCAAATCATGAGGTACGTACTCCATTTTTGATTTTTCTTAATGTGCGTTTTTCTTTTCTTTTTTTTCTTTTTTTCGATATTATGTATATTATGTGTGATATAAAAGTGAATAATTTATTAGTTTGTTTCATTGTAATGATTTTGAGGTGTTAATTCATTAAAATTTTAGTGTAATTTCTCTAGTTCATTTTATGCCCATAACATGTTTGTAGAAATTACTCAATTAAGTTTTTGTTGAAATTCAAAACTTTTTTTCCATTTGTTTGTACCTCAATGTTTAATGAGTATTTTTATGGATTTCCAATTTAATATGATATAGAAACTTTTTCCAATTTAATATTTTTTAATTGTCTGTCATTTGCTTGTTAGTTGTCTGTATTTGTTTTGAGTTGTCTGTAAGTACTTGTCTATCATTTTGTTAGAGTTGTGAAGTTATCTGTCATTTTAAAAATAGATGTCTGTAATTCATATTTAGTTGTCTGTCATTTGATTGTGCGTTGTATGTAAGTTGTTGTGTGTATTTTTTGAGATGTAATTAGTTGTCTCAAGTTGTCTTTGGAAGTACATTGGTTAAAGTGTTTATGACTCAATGTGTGCCTCAATAGCAAGCATGGTATTAAACTCAATATTTTTTTTCATTACATGTATTGTCTGTCTACAGATCCGAAGAATGTGGCGTCATGTTCATATCATTTGCAGAGCAACTGTTACTGAGGAAGTTATTGATTCCTGATTATCACTACGCCAACATGATGCTTGAAGAAGGCTGAAGCATAGACTGTTGGGGAAATGTGTCGATTTTGAACTTGTGATTTTTTTGAATATGTATTTTTTTACAAACATTACATATTACAGTTGGGGAAATATGATACTCTTGTGGAGAAATGTGTCGAATTAATGTGTCACTAGAATGGGTTAATGTTTTAAGTAGAATTGCCCGTCAACCAGACATAATGTGTGAGTCATGTACAATTATTGTTTGTTTGTAGAGACAAAATGATAATTGTTTGTTGAAGTGAACATGTATATTTTTCTAAAATAACATAGTAAGAGGAAGAACAGATTTGTATAATTGTATTACAGTCCCCGTTGTTGGTATGAAGTTCCCTAGTAAAGATGCAATGTATGATTCTACAAGGAGAAGAGTAGGTTTTCCTGTTAGAATAAGGACTACTCTTTGTCTTACAGCCAGACAAATTTTGTCTTGGCCAGACATTAGTAGTTTGGGACAATTAACTACTCTCTGTTCTACAGCCAGACAAATTTTTTCTTGGCCAGACATTAGTAGTCTGGGTCAATTAAGTACTCTTTGTCGTATAGCTAGACAAACTTTGTCTGGGCCAGACATTAGTAGTCTGGGCCAATTAAGTACTCTCTGTCTTACAGCCAGACAAATTTGTCTGGGCCAGACATTAGTAGTCTGGGCCACTAAACTACTCTCTGTCTGGGTATTTATGGTATTGTCTGTATGTGTAAAGTTAATGTCTTTCTACGTGAATATAATGTCTGTATGATTATCTCTATTGTCTGTCTAGATATATGTATTGTTTGTCTATTCACAACAAAGTAATGTTTGTATGTGTAACCTTATGGTCTGCATGTTTATATTTAATGCCAACAATGGTAATCACCAACAAACTAATGTTTCAATCTAACTCCTTATCATTCACACATTGCATTAACACGTAAATGGTTTATACAAAACTACATACAATTGTTAATCACAACAGACTAAGCTTTAAGGTTTCAACGGTTGTGTTTCACCTATCAAGGTTTCACCAACCCACAAAAATACATTCACACATTAATAACAATTTCTATGCTTCCTCCCCCTTCTTCAATCGCCACAAACGAACAACGTATTCACATCTCTTGTTCCACATGTTTGCATATTCACAACCTAGAATCAACGGCTTTCCCATTAACAGGTGTTCTACAAAAGAAGCAACCATCACTCCACATTCTCCAGACCTGTAGATAGACAAATCAGAAGGAAGGCCATACATTTTATATCACATTAGTACATTACAGATAATTTGTTGCAATAAATTGACAGACAACTCAAATGGAATGCCAGACAAATACTTTCACATGACAGATAACTACAAACAAATTTTAAACAATTGGATTTCACGTGCCAGACAACTAATATGCCTTGCCAGACAACTACTTTCACATGACAAGCAACTATAAATCAATTTTAAACAATTCAAAATAAATTGACAGGCAACTCCAAACCAATTACATAATATTCAAAATACCATGACAGACATCTCAATATCATCATAGAGCAATCTAAATATACACAACTACTTCATAATTTTACCAGACAGACAACTATCTTCACATTACTGACAACTCAAATGGAATGCCAGACAACGCCTTTCACATACAGATAACTACAAATCAATTTTAAAGAATTCATTTCAAGTTACAGACAAATCAAATGAAATGCCAGACAACTCTTTTCACTTCACAGACAACTACAAACCAATTTTCAACAAACAAAAATACAACAAAAAACATACCTTTCAGCCATTTTCGATAAGCTAGTCCGCACCACAAACAGTTATATCCCTGAACAAGAGCCATCCAGTTAATCTAATAACATTCGTTTGTGGTATTCTAGTCTTGAAGAATTACATAAATGAATTAGAAGGCGAAAAATTGAAATGCCTATAGCGCACTCTTTAGAATGGGGAAAATTATTCATTTAATAAGCAACAAACGAAGAGGTAGTTTGTGTGAAAATGATTTTTGGGAATTCTGTTTTGGCAAAGCAGGGGAAGTGAAAGCAATGAGAGCATTCCGCCGTGAATATGGCCGCCCCTTGCCCGATTCAATACATACCTTAGAAAGACGGAGGCTGGATTTGAGGAGAGAAAAAGCGGAAGGAGAACGCGGAGAAGAAGGCTGTGAGCTGTGGAAGAATCTGGGGCTCTTAGACTGTTGTTTCGGACTATCGGCGGGCGGAGTCACTGTATTCCGGCAACGGAGAGAAGGCGTAGACGGAGCCGGTTGAGAGGGGGTGAGGTCGATGATGGAGCCGGAAGAGAGCCGGAGATGGCAGAGTTTGGGAAGGTCTGTGACGCGAGATGAGGGGGTGAGGTCGGTGACAATTTTGATTTTTCGTGGGAAGGGGAAGAGTGGAAAAGCCATAGATCTAGAAAGGGAGGTGAAGGAGAAATTTCGACTCAGGGAGGTGGGGGGTAAATTTTTTGGAGGAGTATTTATATGAGGTACAAGTTGGGGTAGAATTGGGGTACCTATAGCAAAATTGCGTAAAATAATACTCCCTCCGTTCCGAATTAATCGTCTGGTTTTGATCTTCACAGAGATTAAGAAAATGAAGTTGACTTCACATTGTAGCGACACTGTTTGACATTGTGGCGACACTGTTTGACATTGTGGCGACACTGTTTGGCACTGTAGCGACACTGTTTGACACTGTTTTGTATAGACTTGTTTACCAAATAAGGAAAGTTTCAAATTAGGATAATTATTTCGGGAAGGACCGAAAAGGAAAGCAGGACAATTATTTCGGGACGGAGGAAGTATTACGTAAGAGCATTTGCAACAATAATGATAATGTTTTATTTTGAGAGAATATTACCCAAAATAAGAATAAAAAGGTTTGAAAATTCCAAAATAGGACTATCATGTTTTTATTCCCAAAATAGGACTAATTACTGTCATATTTTGGCAGTACCGGACTTCAAACATGACAACATTTTCCAGATTTGGCAGGAATTACTCCTATTTTGGGAATAAAAAACATGACAGTCCTATTTTGGAATTTTCAAATTGTTTTAGTCCTATTTCGGGAACCCCCTTTCTTTTGACTGTTTTCAATCACATAGCAGACCAGACTTAAACAGACCAAATCGGACCAGATCAAACTAGATCAGACCTCACCAGCAAATTTCAGTCCAAAAGAAAATATCATTAGACTTAATATGAAAAGTAGATGAATGAGAATAGCTAGTTTGTTACCGAGTAGTTACTTATTTAGCCAAAATGGATATGTGTTAGATAACTGAAAAGATCACCTTAGACGGTTCGAACGGGAACTACTGTACAGACTTGTCTATTTGAGGTGCTTTCGGGGTGGTGCGTTTTGATGAAAATTAATGATCATGTTTTCATGAAATGTAAATTATGTCCACAAAATTTCATATTCAAATTCAATCGGAAAGTCAGTTAAATAAATCATTGAAAAATATTGTGTTTTTATATGCATTTTGGTGCAATGTTTTTCAATAATTTACTCACAAAATTTCATCAAAAAATTCCACCCGATAGCACTCAAGTGGACAAGTTCTAATGAGGATTTCCCTCAAAACTACCTTATAGGATCATTACTCGGTATTGCTTCTTCTTTTATACTTCGTATTAAAGGTAATCTGATTCACATCTCAAACCAAAAACAATAAGTCTATAGCGATATGTGATGCGTATATTCACTCATTTATTCTTGATTTGGGAAAAAGAGTAAAATAGGCTCTCGAACTAACTTAATTAAAAATTGCAAATCACCCCTTATATAGGAAGTTCTGTCCAGACGTCGCTATTTGGGACGGTTCCCGGTGGAATTGTTTGATTCAATTTTTTGAGCATCTTCTTCATTAAGTCTAGTTTACCCATACCAAATTTCAGATAAAAATTCAACCTGGTAGACAGTCAAATGATTTTCTTAAATGTGCTGTGTTGTTTAACTGCACTTCAAAAATTCATTTGACTTCCTTCCCAATTGAATCTTTAGCTGAAATTTGGTATGAGTAAACTAGACTTAATGAAGAAGATGCTCAAAAAAATTCATCAAAAAATTCCACAGGAAATCGCCCCAAATGGCGACGGACGGATACAGCCTTCTATATAAGGGGTGATTTGCATTTTTTAAGTTAGTTCGAGGGCCTATTTGACCCTTTTCCCAATTGATTTTTTTATAGAGAATTCTCTAAATAGGAGTAAAAAAATTTTGAAATTCCAAAATATGACTATCAGGTTTTTTATTCTCTTAATAGGAGTAAATTTCTGCCAAATTTGCATTACTAGGCTTTAAATATCTTATTTTTTCCAAACTTAACAGAATTTCTCCTATTTAGGGAATAAAAATATAAAAATCCTATTTTGGAATTTGAAAAATCCGTATTCAAAACATGTAGCCTTATCCTTACTAACCAAATAAAGTTACAAACGGTATTTTTAGTTATACCACCTTTGGTGACATCACCCTTGACTTTTTTTGTACCTTTGATTCTTTGAACCGAAGTTACCTTATTGTTTCTTGCTAAATCGTCTATAGAATTAAACCTCAGGTTCTTGCTCGAATTTCAAACAGTTGATTTACATAAAAAAGATGACACTCGGATGAAGGCCCCCGATCCTGACCAGACGGTACGTTGGGAGGATGTAAATTGAGCTATAATCCCAATCTGACAGTCCTATCATCATTCATTCATAGTGAGGTGGGTTAAAGTACCCGAGATATTGCATCCAAGCATTTATTCACTTGTACGTCGCACAACATAGGATGCCTTTCATTGTTTGGGCCATCATAAAAACGACAGTCCTATCATCAGAATCAACAATTAATTTTTGTATGGTGTTTTATATGGAAAAATAAATAAATGTCCTTCAGTGTGGAGTCAGATCGATTTGTTCTCACATGCAACTTTTCTATTCTCGACTGTTGCATTGATACCATGAGTTTCTGTTTTATTCTCCAGATGGTAAAAACTCCAATTTAAATATCATACCCATCATTTTGGTGATTGGGTTTAAACAGAAACTTGTAAACGAAATTACTCTGAAATTTGGACCATCTGTATATACATGAAATTGCCCTAACTTTTCCTATATACAAGAAATTGCCCTAAGTTTTCCTATATACAAGAAATTGCCCTAAGTTTTCCTATATACAAGAAATTGCCCTAAGTTTTCCTATATACAAGAAATTGCCCACCCAACACACATACTTTGTACGGAGTATATACGAGTGAAAAAAGTCTCTCATTAAGTTATAAGGTTCGACCCTCAATCGCTTGAAAATTGATTGAATCGATAATTCTTTTTTGTCAGCATCAGGTAATCCCTACTTTGCCGGACCAATCCAAGGCTCCTAAGAATCCACTCAAAATCCCTGAGAAAAGTAAATACGAGTGGCGAACAATCTACTAGGTTTCCAACACCACATTACACAATGCAACTTTTAACTAATCGATTGTGTCTGTCCACGGGTTCCCGACAGAACTTACTAAATTCTCACCAAGAAACTAACTCTCACATTGCCCCTTGAGACAAGACTAAGCATCGATTGCACTACCAATTGAGCTAGTCTGGGGGGCAAGAGGACATTCATTTGAGAAAAGGCTCTCAAATTCACCTCAGTGGTGACTTGAATTCAAGACCTCCCATAAAGGGAAGATCATTTGGACCATGGGCGGATCTATGTAGGGCCTAGGGTGGGCTCTAGCTCAGCCCAACCCAATTTTTTTTGTTAATATAGAAAGAGATTTAATTTTCAGCCCACCCAAAAATTAAAACTCAGCCCACCCCAAGTCTACAAGGAAGTGTTCTAAGAAGCTCTAAAAGCAAAATGCTGCCCAAACTTTGTTTAAAGCCCATAGTCATGGGAACAAATGATCCCGATGCATAATAATAGAGTTTGGTGTGATTGCACCAAGAAGTGATTTATATATAGGACACTCAGGAGGGTGAACCATCCTTGCAGTCGGTGTGGGATAAATTGAGGAGCAAAACTTTACATACGGGGTATTAAACAATCGTATGTAGTTGGTGTTTGGAGCCAGCTGCAAATTATGCAATCCCATCTCACTCACTCACCCACACCATCAATGAAAGCACTTTATATTACAAGTTTACAATATTATTTTACAACATAAATTTTATGATTAATATTATATTATTATTATAATACTGTTATTATTATATGAATATTACTATTATTTGACCCAAGTCACCATGAGTAACTTTTATAAGCATTAAAATTTAAACATAATTATAATCATTAAAATAACTAAGTTACTATTTATCAACTATCCTTATTTGGTCATATACTATTTCTATTATTATTATTATTATTAAAATTATTATTATTATTATTAATAAAATTATAATAGTTTTATTAGTGCATTAGTTTTATTTAATAGTTATGTAATTCTATTTGATTATTAATTTAATTTATGCTCAAACTCGGCTTGAATAAAATAGATATATGAACTCTATTTTTTAGTGTTCAGATATATTTAAAAAATTGCAATGAAAATGTTTAAATTATAAGATAAATAAAATTTGTTTCTATAATTTACGAGTTATTGATAGACTCGAGTCCGAATCAAACCGAATACCACTATGCTCGAACTCAGCTTGAACAACTATTCGAACTCAAAATCTAGCTCGTGTTCGAGTTAAAAAAGCTTCTTAAGCTCAGATCACTAAATTAAATTCGAAATCACGCTCAAATTCGCGTAGTTTGAAAAAAACTCAATTCGATTACGGCCCTAAGCAGCCTAAGCTAAACTTTTTGTTTACAATAACAATTTTTTTTCTGCTAACCCACCTCACTCCTCATTCCTGGATACGCCCCTGATTTGGACCACTCCCAATTGTCTTCGAAAAGTCTTTTGTATTTATAATACTATTAGTCATCACATTTTACCATTAAAATTGATCTGGTTCTTCAATATCTTAAATTCACCATATTTTACCTAAACCAGCTGTGAGTGGTAAGTGGGGTAGTTGGTAGTGGATAGGTTGGGTTTTTTCAGTTGATTGTTTGATTTGGTAATAAACATGTACTACGTGCTATTGAGTATAAAAGAAATTGAGTACAAATAGTCAAATAGATAGATGATGGTAGAGTGAAGTGGCGGTGACCTAGCAATATGTTGGTGATGACATTACAAGTTCATACGTGCTATTGTGTATCTCAGTTCTCAAGTGCGATGGTCTAGTTGAGAAATTGATAACAGTTTGAAGGCTATTTGACAAATTTCCTTAATTGTTTGGATGGATTAGATCAAATGAGAATATCTTGTAAGGGAAAAAAGATCTTAATACCATTTGATCAATTTATATACCATTGAAGATAATTTTTTGATTTTTCTTTCTTGTGCATGAATGCTTTGTCCAACAACATCGTGTCATTTATTAATTACTTCCTTTTCCTTAATTT